TAAATGGAATCATAGAATATGTGGACTTTGTGTCTGATTTCCTTCATTTAAGCATAATGTTTCCTTTTTTTGAAAAAAACTTATTGTTGAAAGTATTACATATGTTCCCTCCGCCCTTTGACTTCTTATAGCCTACTCCCACCCCCTGTCCCAGGCCTACACCTCCCTATTGTCAGTGTCCATGGGTTATGCATATACATATACAAGTTCTTTGGTTGATTTCTTCCCCCCCACCCCTCGACCTCCTGCCTTCCATCTGAGAGTCAATAGTTTGTTCTATGTCTGTGGATCTATTTTGTTCAACAGTTTATTTTGTTCATTAGATTCCACATATGAGTGGGATCATGTGATACTTTTCTTTCTCTGACTGGCTTATTTCTTTTAGCATAATACTCTCTGGTCCCTCCATGCTGTCTCAACGGGTAAGAGATCCTTCCTTCCTTTTTACTGCAGCATAGTATTCCATGATGTAAATGTACCACAGCTTTTTTATCCACTTGTCTACTGATGGGCACTTGGGCTGTTTCCAAATCTTAGCTATTGTAAATTGTGCTGCTCTGAACCTAGGGGTGCATATATTCTTTCTGATTGGTGTTTCGGGTTTCTTAGGATATATTCCTAGAAGTGGGATCACTGAGTCAAATGGCAGTTCCATATTTAATTTTTTGAGGTAACTCCATACTGTTTTTCCATAATGGCTGCACCAGATTGCATTCCCACCAGCAGTGTACTAGAGTTCCCTTTTCTCCACATCCTTGCCAGCACTTGTCATTTGCTGTTGGTAGCCATTCTTATAGGTCAAAGGTGATACCTCAGTGTGATTTTAATTGCCTCTCTCTGATGATCAGTGACTTTGAGCATTTTTTCATGTGTCTCTTGGCCATCTGTATGTCCATTTTGGAGATGTATCTGTTTAGGTCCTTTGCCCAATTTTTAAAAAAGATATCTTTATTGTTGAAAATATTACATATGTCTCCTTTTTTCATCCATTGACCCCTCTAGCCCGACCCTAGGCCTGCACCTCCCTATTGTCTGTGTCCATGAGTTATGTATACTGTTTTCCATAATGGCTATACCAATCTGCATTCTGGTACTAAGGTTCCCTTTTCTCCACATCTTGGCCAGCACTTGTTTATTAATTTGTTGATGCTAGCTATTCTGACAGGTGTGAAGTGATACCTAATATTCCTTTTAATTTGCATCTCTCTGATGATCACTGACTTCGAGTATTTTTTCATATGTCTACTTTGGAGAATTGTCTACTTAGGTCCTTTGCCCATTTTTTAGTTGGGTTGTTTGTCTTCCTTTTGTTAGGTTGTATGAGTTCCTTACATATTTTGGATATTAACCCTTTATCAGATGTATCATTGATAAATATGTTCTCCCATACTGGGCTACCTTTTCGTTTTGTTGATGGTTTCTTTTGCCGTGTAGAAGCTTTTTATATTGATGTAGTCCTATTTGTTTATTTTCTCCTCAGTTTTATTTACCCTACAAGATGTATCCGTAAACATATTGCAATGAGAGATGTCTGAGATTTTGTTGCCTGTGGTTTCTTCTAGGATATTTATGGTTTCACAGCTTACATCTAAACATTTTTATCTATTTTGAGTAGATTCTTATGTATGGTGTAAGTTGGTGGTCTAGTTTCTTTCTTTCTTTCTTTCTTTTTTATTTTTTATTTTTTTTAATTAAATCTTTATTGTTCAGATTATTACATTTGTTCCTCTTTTTCCCCCCCCATAACTCCCCTCCTCCCAGTTCCCGCCCCACCCTCTGCCCTCACTCCCCACCCACTGTCCTCATCCATAGGTGCACGATTTTTGTCCAGTCTCTTCCCGCATCTCCCACATCTCTTTCCCCCCCAAGAATAGTCAGTCCATTCCCTTTCTATGTCCCTGATTCTGTTATAATCAACAGTTCATTCTGTTCATCAGATTATTTATTCACTTGATTCTTAGGTTCACTTGTTGATAGATGCATATTTGTTGTTCATAATTTGTATCTTTACCTTTTTCTTCCTCTTCCTCTTCTTAAAGGATACCTTTCAGCATTTCATATAATCCTGGTTTGGTGGTGATGAACTCCTTTAGCTTTTCCTTATCTGTGAAGCTCTTTATCTGACCTTCAATTCTGAATGATAGCTTTGCTGGATAAAGTAATCTTGGTTGTAGGTTCTTGGTATTCATCACTTTGAATATTTCTTGCCACTCCCTTCTGGCCTGCAAAGTTTCTGTTGAGAAATCAGCTGACAGTCGTATGGGTATTCCCTTGTAGGTAACTGAGTTTCTTTCTCTTGCTGTTTTTAAGATTCTCTCTTTATCTTTTGCTCTTGGCATTTTAATTATGATGTGTCTTGGTGTGGTCCTCTTTGGATTCCTTTTGTTTGGGGTTCTCCGCGCTTCTTGGACCTGTAAGTCCATTTCTTTCACCAGGTGGGGGAAGTTTTCTGTCATTATTTCTTCAAATAGGTTTTCAATATCTTGCTCTCTCTCATCTTCTGGCACCCCTATAATTCTGATGTTGGTACGCTTGAAGCTGTCCCAGAGGCTCCTTACACTATGCTCTCATTTTTGGATTCTTTTTTCATTTTGCTTTTCCGGTTGGGTGTTTTTTGCTTCCTCACATTTCAAATCATTGACTTGATTCTTGCACTCCTCTGGTCTGCTGTCGGGAGTCTGTATAATATTCGTTATTTCAGTCCGTGTATGCTTAATTTCTAGTTGGTTCCCCAATATAAGATTGAGGGTCTCATTAGTTTTCTTGTAGATCTCATTAAGTTTATCGGCGGCTTCTAAACAGTTCTTGAGAGACCTTAAAAGTGTGGTTCTGAACTCTATATCTTCCATTGACAATTTTGTCCTGTTTCTTTGTCTCCGCATTTTGTTATGCTTCCTTGGTGCACCCCCTAGTGGTCTTTGTTCGCAGTCTTATAGTTAAACCTTGATTGTTGTAGCTAATACCAGGGAGGGTTTGACCTCCAGGCCAAGTGGCTATGAGAATCAGCTGTGTCTGCAGTGAGAGAACTTCTGTCCTCTAGGGAGGTGCTAATCTAGCCTTTGCCTGAGGCTATCTGGCAAATGCCTCTGTGCAGGGCTTGGGCAGGGCGGGTCGCACAGGATCAACAGGGTGGGCCGGAGAGAGCAGTTATGGCGGCTCTCAGTCCTGTCCCCAGGGGCTCTGCCTCTCTGAGTCCCAGCACCCGCTGCAAACCTCGGAGAGAAAGCTGCACTCGCTCTGACCGAAGCCAGACAGTCCCGCTTCTCCCGTTTGAGTCTGGGTCCCTAAAGACTCGCCTGTATCTGGAGCTCAGAGTCTGCGACTCCCTCCCGATTGAAAACGCCAACCGCGCCCTCCGCTGCCAGCCCGCTCCGCGCACTCCGCACCTCAGAATTTGACTTCAGCACTGCGCCTCCTCTGAGTGTTCGTATGCGTTTCTCTTTCCTCCTAGTTGTAGGACTTCCACTCAGCCAGCGTTCCTGTGGTTCTGGGTGATGTCTGTTCCATTTTTTAGTTTCACTTTTGAAGTAGTTGTTCAAGGCAGCAAACTCCGGCGTTAACCTATGCCGCCATCTTGGTTCTCCCTTTCTTTCTTTCTTTTTTTTTTTTTTTTTTTGCATGTATTGGTCCAATTTTCCCAACACCATTTATTGATGAGACTGTCTTGACTCTATTGTGTGTTCTTGCCTCCGTCATCAAATATTAATTGAGCCTAATGGCTTGGGTCAGTTTCTGAAGTCTATTCTGTTCCATTGATCTATATGCCTCTTCTTGTGCCAGTACCAGGCTGTTTTGATTACTGTGGCTTTGTAGTATAACTTGATATCTGGTATTGTGATCCCTCCAACTTTGTTCTTCTTTCTCAAGATTGTTGTAGCTATTAGAGGTCTGTTTTGGTTCCATACAAATTTTTGGAGTACTTGTTTTAGATCTGTGAAATATGCCATTGGTTTTTTAGTAGGAATGGCATTGAATCTGTAGATTGCCTTGAGTAGTATGGACATTTTAATGATGTTAATTCTACCAATCCATGAACACAGTATATTCTTCCACTTGTTTATATCTTTATCTCTTTTTTTAATGTCCTGTAGTTTTCCAAATACAGGTCCTTTACCTCCTTGGTTAAGTTTATTCCTAAGTATCTTAATTTTTTTGTTGTTGCAGTAGTGAATTGGATTGTTTAGTTTCTCTTTCTGAGAATTCATTATTGGTGTATAAAAAAGACATCGATTTTGGGGTGTTGATTTTGGGGTGTTCATTCTTTTGTTTCCCTTGTCTATTTTTCACTTCTAGAAACAATTTTATTTTGTTCTTTTTCAACCCTGCTTAGTTATTCTTTATAGTTTCTGGTTGACTACTCATACTTTCAATCTTGTCAAAGTTCTATTTCTTTAAACATATTAATAGTTATTTTTTATTCTCTCTGATGTTTCTGCTGCTGCTTGCTCATGGTACCTTGTTTCCTTTTGTGTTTGGAGAGCTGCCAATTTTTCTTGGATGTTTATTTGTGGGGATGTTTTATGGCCTGGGCTGAAGATGGGGCACATGGACGATATATGGTAGCATTTTGTGTCCCTTTTCTCTTGCTTATTTTTAACATAGAAAGCATTAAATTATGCTTATTTATCTGCAACTTACTTTTTTGTTGTTTTGTTAATCCTCAGCTGAGGATATTTTTTCTATTGCTTTTCAGAGAAAGAGGGAGGGTAGGAGAGAGAAAAAAAAAACATCAATATGAGAAAGACACATCGACTGGTTGCCTCTCATAGGCACCCCAAACAGGAGTGGGGAGTGAACCCGAAACCCAGATACGATGTGCCCTTGTCCTGGAATCAAACTCGTGACCCTTTGATGTGCGGGCCAACGCCCCAACCAGGTAGCCATGCTGGCTAGGGCTCTGCAACTTACTTTTCCCCACCAAAATGCAACAGTATATCATAGTGCTGTCATTGAAGTGGTTGTAATGAATTGCCCTTTGCCTTGTTATCTGGGAACTGTAGGTGTATCCTGAGTTTGAAGATCAGAGAGCTTGTCTGCCAACTGGATCTTTTCTGACTTGTTCCTCAGACAACACCATTCGCTTCTGGAACATAAATAGCAGCCCTGACTCTCCCTGGCAGAAAAACATCTTCAGTAATGTGAGTGACTTCAAGGTGAACCATCTTTTAGGAAGAACAAAGACCTGCTTTAAGCTAGGACATTGAGACAGGAGGACGTTTTATAGGATCTTGCTATTAGACTGCACTCGGGGCAGGAACCAGAAACCAAGGCAGGTTACTTTTTTGTTTCTCTCTCTCCCTCTCTTTCCTTCTGAGTAGAATAGCTCTCTTTCTGCCAGTGAGCAGCTGCTGTCCAGGTGTGTCTACCCAGCCACTCCAGGCAACCTGACATACTCAACAGAAGAGAAATTGCTCCCCAAATCTTCAGTTAGAGCTCCTTAGGAGAGCTCTTAGGTCCATCAACCAAGCCAGGCAGGGGCTTCCTCTGTCAACTAGCCGCCATGCAGTAAGGCCATGGGTAGGGGTGCTGGCAGGACCCCAGAGAGAGCCATGAGGTGAGGCTGGGGAGAAAACATTTTGCTGAAGAAATGTTTGGTATTGCTAGGTCACTAAGGGAGTTTCTCTGAGGAACTGAGACCTGAATCATGCATTTGTTTATTCTGAAGATACTTATTAAGGTCTGTGTATGCTACATGCTGGAGACACATCAGTGACTAATATAGACCCTTCTGTACTCATGGCTCCCACAGTCTAGTGGGGGGAGGCAGAGAGTGAACTAATAACTGTACAAATTGTGATATAATCATAAGCGTAGTAAGCACCATGAAAGAAAATTGCATAGTGCTAGTAGGATATATAACAGAGTCATCTGATCTTACTTGTGGCATCAGGGGCAACTTCCTGGAGGAAAGACAACTACAGTGAGATATGGAGGATTGGTAGGAGTGAAGAGGGGCAGGGAAAGTGTCCCATGCCAAAGGAACAGCTTGTGCAAAGGCCCCGAGGTGGGAAAGAGATTGGTGAGAAGTCAATGGTGCTGGGGGAAAAAAGACCATTAATGCCCTAACCGGTTTGGCTCAGTGGATAGAGCATCGGCCTGTGGACTGAAAGGTCCCAGGCTTGATTCTGGTCAAGGGCATGTACCTTGGTTGCGGACACATTCCCAGTAGGAGGTGTACAGGAGGCAGCTGATCAATGTTTCTCTCTCATTGATGTTTCTAACTCTCTATCCCTCCCCCTTCCTCTCTGTGAAAAATCAATAAAATATATATATTTTTAAAAAAGGTCATTAATGTAGGGAGTGTATAGCAGGTATTCCTTTACTACTCCCTTCACCCTCCACCCCAATGCTATAGCATCTTCTCTTCTGCACCTGTGATATACATATTTGGCTGTATACAATAGAAAATCCCAAAACAAGAGGTAAAATTTTTTGTTTTCTGACTCATAAAAATAGTCTAGAGGTAATCAGTTCAAGCTCTTATGGCAGCTGCAGGAAGCCCTCAGAGATTCAAGAGCCTTCTAGCTCTCACTCTGCTCTTTATCATCCAAAATGGCTGCTAGAGTTCCGGTCATTATATCAGTGAATTTCAGGCAGCAAGAAAGAAGCAGAAGGGTTCTCGCTTGCTTTACATCTCATTGACCAGAATTTATTTACAGAGCCTCATCTAGCTGCAAGGGAGGCTGGGAAACATAGTTATTATTCTGAGTAGTGAACCTCCCAGGTCAAAATTGGAGTTCTGTTTACTAATGAAGAATGGGAGACTGGCTCTTGGGATACAAAATTTCAGAGGTGTTTCAGACCATCTCACAGTACTGACTTCAGCCCTCTCTTTCCTGCAGACCCTACTGAAGGTAGTGTATGTAGAGAATGACATCCAGCACCTTCAGGACATGTCACACTTCCCAGACCGGGGTAGTGAGAATGGGACACCTATGGACGTGAAAGCCGGGGTACGAGTCATGCAAGTCAGTCCTGATGGCCAACACTTGGCTTCAGGTGACCGAAGTGGAAATCTGAGGCAAGTGGGCCCTTGTGGGTGTCCAGTGTACACTTTCCAGTTCAGGCTCAGGTACTTGGGGTGGTGGGTAGGAACCCTGGCCTTTGCAACTCCAGCTACTCATTGAGAATGAGGGGCTGTGAGTAGTAATTCTGTTACCAGCCACCCCTTGGAACTTATGCAAAGAAGTGTCTTCCAAAAGGGCTGAGATGGAAGTAGCTACTGGGACCTCACTGCAGAGGTTTTTCAAGATGTTACTGGCTCAGTAGGCACTGGTGGCATATGAGCCCTGTTAAAGGGACCAGGTTTAAGTTGATGAATGACAGCTGTGACCACATGGGTACTGGGGCTGTCAAGGGATGGAAGGGGCCAGGGAAACTAGAGACACATCCTCTAAGCTGTCATGTGTTCTCATTGTCCAAGAAGAACAGAAAGTGCAGGATTTTTTTCTCTGAAAATTCTATTATTTCTTTAAATGCTGGCAACTATTTTGGTATCAACCACCACATGAGGCAAACAGAATGTATCAGTGGGCTGCTGTCTGCCATGAATGACAAAAACAGTAACAAGAGCTACGTGGGCACAGCACTCTTACCCCGGGCTGGCCACTCGCCTGATACTGTGTGTAACGACCAATTTAGTATTCTCATTGACCCTCGATGTAAGTGCTGCTATCAACCCCATTTTCAGATGAGTTAACTGAGTTAAGAGAGGCCAAGTGGCTAGCCCAGCCGTGGGCAAATTGCGGCCCACGGGCTGGATCCGGCCCGTTTGAAATGAATAAAACTAAAAAAAAAAAAAAAAAAAAAAAAAGACCGTACCCTTTTATGTAATGATGTTTACTTTGAATTTATATTAGTTCACACAAACACTCCATCCATGCTTTTGTTCCGGCCCTCCGGTCCAGTTTAAGAACCCGCTGTGGCCCTCGAGTCAAAAAGTTTGCCCACCCCTGGGCTAGGCTAAGATTACATATGTAGAGAGAGAGAAATTGGGATGATTGTCTCTTATTTCAACTCTGGATGACCTCTTGATTGTTTTATTTCATTTGGAGAGAATGAGGAAAGTCTAGATTTAAGACTCTTTAAGAATGACAGATTGGAATCAAATGTTCCCCCTATAGGTTCTATCCTTGAATATGACCTCTGACCCCTGCTCCCCCTTCCCTCTGGGATTACCTCTGATACAGCTCTGCCCTAACCCTTGTTTTCCCCAGAGGACTGTCCTAGATCTGGCCCATGGAACCACAAAGGGCTGGGTGCTCACTGTGATACTCCCACATTTCCTTTAAGATGACATGTTTCTAGATGATAACAGTGGTTGGGTATCTCTAAACTAGTTCTCCATGTCACCTGCCTGGCAATGGCAGAGTGCCCGGGGTGGGAGGGCCCTCTGAGAAGGGTATAGCAGTCAATGTATGTCTCCCAGGATCCATGAGCTGCATTTCATGGATGAGCTGGTCAAGATGGAAGCCCATGATGCTGAGGTGCTATGCCTGGAGTACTCCAAGCCTGAGACTGGTGAGCCCGTGGCAGGGGGAAGGGAGGGGAGTGGCCCCCCCCGGCAGAGCCACATAGAGGGGTAATTGGTATCTGGTAGGACTCTGAATGACAGCTGGAAGTCCTGTGTTTAATAAGGGCCCCTGTCTTGGGCCCTGGGACCAAGGTGACTAGGACTCCAGAAAGCAAGGCACTGGCAGGCAGGACTGGACTTGACTTCCTTACCCTGGTGCCCAGTCCCCTGAAGAGGTGAATGCTGAATGTATGAATAAGTTCATCCTCTGCTAATGAAGATAGATTGATAGTTAAACATGCTATTTTCAAAAAGGTTTAATGCCTACAGAAAAATTACAAGAATATTATAGGGAAGTGAGGTGTCGGAGGTGCCGCTGGGAGCTGCCACGTCCGAGGCCGGGAGCCACCGCCACTGCAGCCATGGTGTCAGTAATTAACACTGTGGACACCTCCCATGAGGACATGATTCACGATGCCCAGATGGACTACTATGGCATCCGCCTGGCAACCTGCTCATCAGACAGGTCCGTCAAAATCTTTGATGTACGCAACGGAGGGCAGATCCTCATCGCAGACCTCAGGTCATGAGGGACCAGTGTGGCAAGTGGCCTGGGCCCACCCCATGTATGGCAATATCCTGGCATCCTGTTCCTATGACTGAAAAGTTATTATCTGGAAAGAGGAAAACGGCACCTGGGAGAAGACGCACGAACACACAGGACATGACTCCTCAGTAAATTCTGTGTGCTGGGCTCCCCATGACTACGGCCTAATCCTGACCTGTGGGAGCTCAGATGGGGCCATCTCCCTGCTGACCTACACTGGGGAAGGCCAGTGGGACGTGAAGAAGATCAACAATGCTCACACTATTGGCTGCAATGCCGTCAGCTGGGCCCCTGCTGTTGTACCTGGAAGCCTCATAGACCAGCCTTCAGGACAGAAGCCCAACTACATCAAGAAATTTGCCTGAGAGAACCAAGATGGCGGCATAGGTTAACGCCGGAGTTTGCTGCTTTAAACAACTACTTCAAAAGTGAAACCAAAAAACGGAAGGGACATCACCCAGAACCACAGGAACGCTGGCTGAGTGGAAGTCCTACAGCTAGGAGGAAAGAGAAACGCATACGGACACTCAGAGGAGGCGCAGTGCTGAAGTCAAATTCTGAGGTGCGGAGTGCGCGGAGCGGGCTGGCGGCGGAGGGCGTGGTTGGCGTTTTCAATCGGTAGGGAGTCGCAGACTCTGAGCTCCAGATCCGGGCAAGTCTTTAGGGACCCAGACTCAAACGGGAGAAGCGGGACTGTCTGGCTTCGGTCAGAGCGAGTGCAGCTTTCTCTCTGAGCTTTGCAGCGAGTGCTGGGACTCAGAGAGGCAGAGCCCCTGGGGACAGGACAGAGAGCCACCATAACTGCTCTCTCCGGCCCACCCTGGTGATCCTGTTCGACCAGCCCCGCCCAAGCCCTGCACACAGGCATTTGCCGGATAGCCTCAGGCAAAGGCTAGATTAGCACCTCCCTAGAGGACAGAAGTTCTCTCACTGCTGACACAGCTGATTCTCATAGCCACTTGGCCTGGAGGTCAAACCCTCCCTGTAATTAGCTACAACAATCAAGATTTAACTATAAGACTGCGAACAAAGACCACTAGGGGGTGCACCAAGGAAGCATAACAAAATGCGGAGACAAAGAAACAGGACAAAATTGTCAATGGAAGATATAGAGTTCAGAACCACACTTTTAAGGTCTCTCAAGAACTGTTTAGAAGCCGCCGATAAACTTAATGAGATCTACAAGAAAACTAATGAGACCCTCAATCTTATATTGGGGAACCAACTAGAAATTAAGCATACACGGACTGAAATAACGAATATTATACAGACTCCCGACAGCAGACCAGAGGAGCGCAAGAATCAAGTCAATGATTTGAAATGCGAGGAAGCAAAAAACACCCAACCGGAAAAGCAAAATGAAAAAAGAATCCAAAAATGCGAGGATAGTGTAAGGAGCCTCTGGGACAGCTTCAAGCGTACCAACATCAGAATTATAGGGGTGCCAGAAGATGAGAGAGAACAAGATATTGAAAACCTATTTGAAGAAATAATGACAGAAAACTTCCCCCACCTGGTGAAAGAAATGGACTTACAGGTCCAAGAAGCGCGGAGAACCCCAAACAAAAGGAATCCAAAGAGGACCACACCAAGACACATCATAATTAAAATGCCAAGAGCAAAAGATAAAGAGAGAATCTTAGAAACAGCAAGAGAAAGAAACTCAGTTACCTACAAGGGAATACCCATACGACTGTCAGCTGATTTCTCAACAGAAACTTTGCAGGCCAGAAGGGAGTGGCAAGAAATATTCAAAGTTATGAATACCAAGAACCTACAACCTAGATTACTTTATCCAGCAAAGCTATCATTCAGAATTGAAGGTCAGATAAAGAGCTTCACAGATAAGGAAAAGCTAAAGGAGTTCATCACCACCAAACCAGGATTATATGAAATGCTGAAAGGTATCCTTTAAGAAGAGGAAGAGGAAGAAAAAGATAAAGATACAAATTATGAACAACAAATAATGCATCTATCAACAAGTAAATCTAAGAATCAAGTGAATAAATAATCTGATGAACAGAATGAACTGTTGATTATAATAGAATCAGGGACATAGAAAGGGAATGGACTGACTATTCCTGGGGGGGAAAGGGGTGTGGGAGATGCGGGAAGAGACTGGACAAAAATCGTGCACCTATGGATGAGGACAGTGGGTGGGGAGTGAGGGCGGAGGGTGGGGCGGGAACTGGGAGGAGGGGAGTTTTGGGGGGAAAAAAAAGAGGAACAAATGTAATAATCTGAACAATAAAGAATTAATTAAAAAAAAAAAAGAAATTTGCCTCAGGCAGCTGTGACAACCTCATCAAGCTGTGGAAGGAGGAAGAGGATGGCTAGTGGAAGGAGGAACAGAAGCTGGAAGCACACAGGGACTGGGTCCGAGACGTGGCCTGGGCCCCTTCCATTGGTCTCCCCACCAGCACCATCGCCAGTTGTTCCCAGGATGGTCTTGTGTTCATTTGGACCTGTGACGATGCCTCAGCAATACGTGGTCTCCCAAACTACTGCACAAGTTCAATGATGTTGTGTGGCACGTGAGTTGGTCCATCACAGCCAACATTTTGGCCGTCTCGGGTGGAGATAATAAGGTGACCCTGTGGAAGGAGTTAGTCGACGGGCAGTGGATGTGCATCAGTGATGTCAACAACGGCCAGGGTTCCGTGTCTGCTTCCGTCACAGAGGGCCAGCAGAACGAGCAGTGACAAGACTGGCGGGCCCAGCTCCCCACCTGCCAATTCCTGGACCAACTGACCAAACAGCAGCAAGGAAGCGCTCCCAGGAATAGTTAAAACTGCAACTTTCCCAGGAATAGTTAAAACTGCAACGAGATTGATCATCTGCCTTAACATGATTTGATATGGTTTGTAATTTAAAAAGCACTCATTATGAGGGAGAAACTACAAATGATCTATTATTTTTTGGCCATTTTTATGTACCTTCTGGGGTCAGGCATTATTTGGGAGTTTTTGTTTCCAAAGTAATTAAACATGATGTTTATAAAAAAAAAAGAAAAAAAGAAAAAAGAATATTATAATGGCCGTAACCGGTTTGGCTCAGTGGATAGAGCGTCGGCCTGCGGACTCAAGGGTCCCAGGTTCGATTCCGGTCAAGGGCATGTACCTTGGTTGCGGGCACATCCTCACTAGGGAGTGTGCAATAGGCAGCTGATCTATGTTTCTCTCTCATCAATGTTTCTAACTCTCTATCCCTCTCCCCTCCTCTCTGTAAAAAATCAATTAAAAAAAAAAAGAATATTATAATGAACACCCACATGTTTTTTAGTCAGATTCTCCACGTTTTTTTCTTTTAAATTCTGTCTGACTCTGTGGCTGTATAATGACTTTATCTGCTTCCCCTTTCTCCATTTCTCTCTCTGTGTTTGTGTGTATAGATACACACATGTAATAAAATAATAGCATATACATTCCCTTTTTTACTAAACTATTTGAGAGTACTAGTAAATTGTAGGTATGATGCCCATTCACCTTTAAATGCTTCTGTGAGCATTTCCTAGGGCTTATCAAATGTGGGAGTTTCATTTTGATGCTATATTGTCATCTTATGGTCCTTATTCACATTTTGCCAAGTGTCCTAATATTGTCCTTTTAGCACCTTTGTTTTTCCAATCCAGGTTCACATGAGAGAAAGAGCGAGGGAAACGAGGGAGGGAGAGAGAGAGAAAAAAAAGAGAGAGAGAGGAGAGAGAAACATCAATATAAGAGAGACGCATCTATTGGTTGCCAGGATCGAACCTGTAACCCAGGTGTGTGCCCTCGACCGGGAATTGATCCCACGACCCTTCGGTGGGTGAGCCAGCACTCTAACCACTGAGAAACACAACCAGGGCTAGACCAATCATTTTATAGAGTTTCCTTCAATTTGGGTTTGTCTGTTTTCCTCATAATTTGATTTCGATAATACATTCTTGGTAGGAATGTAACTTAGGCAGAGGTATATCCTCATATGTTAATGATCTTTCCCATGCTCTTCTTTCCTTCTTCCTTCCCTGGCACCCTCTATCCCACTAAACTTTCTTTGAATCTCTCTTTATTCAATTTATCTTTCCTGAGTTCCCTTCCATCTCTAGTCGTACGTTAGACCTCAGATGTACCAGGTGAACAGCATAGGCACTGTCTAAAGGGGCCAGCAGGGCCTGGCTGGACTGGCTCAGTGGTTGAGTGTTGATCTATGAACCAGGAGGTCATGGTTTGATTTCTAGTCAGGGCACATGCCCGAGTTGCGGGCTCAATCCCCAGTGTGGGGCATGCAGGAGGCAGCTGATCAGTGACTCTCTCATCATTGATGTTTCTATTTCTCTCTCTGTCTTCCTTCTTCTCTGAAATCAATAAAAATATATTTAAAAATAAATAAATAAAGGGCCCAGCAGGAAAGGCCTAGTGATAGAAGGAAGTGTGGCAGTGGGTTGGTAGTCAATAGGGCCTGGACAAGGCCCATGTAGTCAGAGCTCAGAGAGTGAAGGGGCAGTGTTTTGGGGAAGCTGAGAAGTTAATAGGGCTTCACCTGGCATGCCAAGGTGTAGGAAGGAGTGCTGGGCTCTATTACAATGTCTGCTGGATTAATGCCTGGATTAATGGGATGTGAAATGCCAGGATTTGGGGGGATTGGGGAAAGATTGCACGGAGCTGAGGGAGTGTTCCCTTTCTGGGTTTGGAGCAAGTTAGCAGCAATTATGGAACCAAAGACCTGGAAAGTTCAGCCATGCTGCTCTCTAGGAGGCCACGGCATCAAGTAGTCTCCGGGGAACCCAGGGCCACCCTCTCCACTCACAGGGCTTACCTTGCTTGCCTCGGCCAGTCGGGACCGACTGATCCATGTGCTGAACGTGGAGAAGAACTACAACCTGGAGCAGACCCTGGATGACCACTCCTCCTCCATCACGGCCATCAAATTTGCAGGTGAGTCCCTTCCCTCCCACTTCCACCACCTCATTTAATGGGTTCCTTTGGCTGCAAGTAACAGCAAAAACTCTTCAGCTTAGACCAAAAAAAGGGAGAAACAAACTCTAGATTCAGACACAGCTGGAGCCAAAGGTTGAATTTTTAAAAATTAAATTATTAGGACTCTTTCCCTCTGTTAGCTATGCTTTTCTCTGGAGGGCGGGATCTTGGTTGTCACTGGGCCACTGGAGAGAGATCTCCCTCCTTCCTATCCATTTTGGCAGAAATTGGAACCGACTTCCCTTTTGCTGGTTTGAGGCACCTGCCCTTTACAGATCAGCTATTGGTGCCAGGGCTTTAGAGGGTTCTCTTCGGCCAGGTCACGCTCATGTGCCCAGCCACCGCCTACCTCCGCTCCTGATCCTGGAGGACTGGCATTAGATGAGTGCTGGTCCCCAAAAAGAAATCAGGGTGCCAATCCTATGAGAGGACAGGATGAGCACTGGTGACATTGACAGGAAAATAAGTAACAGTGACAATTGCTGGAGGCTAATTCTTTGCTGGGGATTATCCTTGTGCCATCCCAGTAGTATCCCCTTCCTTAACCCATTTTATAGCCAGAGTCACACAGCTAGTAGGTGCAGGCCTAGGATCTTGCCTATGGCTATCCTCCATAGCCAATGCTAAACCAGGAAATCAAAGGGATTCTTCCAAGGCTGAAAAGATTCAGTATGGAGATCCCTGTCCCTCAGGAGTTCCAAGGGGAGGGAAGGCAGGCCCTGTGGGATGTAAGTGATCAGACTAAGAACATGTTCAAAATTCTATTTAAGGAGTATATATTCATGGGAGAATACATTCATCTAGTCTAAGTTCTTGTCTATGAAATGTTATTTACATATAATTTTGTGACTGAGAATGTATTAATGTCCCTTGGTCCTCCCCACTTCTTGCCCTGCCTCTCTAGCTAAGGTGATAGGACGCTGAGCAAAAACAAGTTAACTATGTTTTCTGTGTCTTGATGAAGACCTCACAAAAGCTGATCAACTAAAACTTCTCAGACATCCTTAAAACCCTGCTCTTTCCATTGGCTAGAGGTAGTTAGAATAAATCAGCAAATCTGGCAGTTTGGCCCCTCACCTTTTTTTTCCCCCCTCACCTTTTTTTAAAAAATTAATTTATTGATTGATTTGAGAGAGAGGAGAGCGATGGAGGGAAGAAGAGAGGGAGGAAGAGAAAGAGAGAAATATATATAGAGAGAGATCTGCTGTTCCACTTATCTATACATTCATTGGTTCATTCCTGTATGTGCCCTGACCAGGGATCAAACCCACAACCTTGGTGTATGGGGATGACTCTCTAACCAACTGAGCTACCCAGCCAGGGCACTGACCTCACCTTTAATGAATGGTCTAGATCCAAGAAAGATGATAATTGGGCCAGGAGTTGGTCCTTTAGGCCACCTTCTGAAAGGTGGGCCTTCATTAGAGCCCCAGCCAGTCTGAGAGGATGAAGCTTCTAAATCCAGCTCCTAAGTGCCCCACTCTGCCAGGCTGGCTCACTTGGTTATGCTCAAAACATTGATAATAGTCAATATAAACTGGGCACCAGTCAGTCCTAACCTGTCTGAAACTACCCTGCTAAAGAAGGACTCAGTCTTCTAACTCTTTCCTGTGAGGCCTGTCCAAACAAGTAGAAGATAGTACATATAGTTTACAGAATATAAAATGTGCCATATGACAACATTTCGATCAACATCAGGCTGCCTATATGAAGGTGGTTCTATAACATAATGGAACTGAAAAATTCCTATAGCCTAGTGCAGTGGTCGGCAAACTCATTAGTCAACAGAGCCAAATATCAACAGTACAACTATTGAAATTTCTTTTGAGAGCCAAATTTTTTAAACTTAAACTATATAGGTAGGTACATTGTTATTAACTTAATTAGGGTACTCCTAAGCTGGCCTTTGCTAAAAACGGCCTCAATCTGATTGAGGTACATTTGCTGAGGTCGACCCCTTCCAACTCTCCCATCCACACTCGTCTTGTATACTTGTTTCGTCTGTCTCCTTTCCGCAAACCGACTTCTGCGCATGGGCCATGAAGTTTCAATCGCACTGTACGTGCACGCCCGCACGTGGTATTTTGTGGAAGAGCCACACTCAAGGGGCCAAACACGAGCCGAGGTTTGCCAACCACTGGCCTAGTGATATCGTAGCCACTGTAATATCACAATGCAAAGTACTCACGTGTTTGTGGTGATGCTGATGTAAACAAATCTTAGCTGCCAGTCATATAAAAGTATAGCACATACATGCCCTAACCGATTTGGCTCAGTGGATAGAGCGTCGGCCTGTGGACTGAAGGGTCCCAGGTTTGATTCCGGTCAAGGGCATGTACCTTGGTTGCGGGCACATCCCCAGTAGGGGGTGTGCAGGAGGCAGCTGATCAGTGTTTCTCTCTCATAGGTGTTTCTATCTCTCTATCCCTCCCTTCCTCTCTGTAAAAAAATCAATAAAATATATATATTTTAAAAAGTATAGCACATACAATTACATGCAGTACATAATAATAATAATAATAATAAACACCTAAGTTACTGGTTTGTGTATTTACTATATTTTAGCATGTACTCTTTATACTTATAAAACAAAGTTTTCTACAAAACAGTATGCCGTGTTACACTGGCAGCAGCCTTATACACCTTGTCTAACTGAGTCTCTTGATCTTATCATTTTCTCTAATGCTTGATTTAATTTTGTGTAGTAACATGCTGTACAGGCTTATAGTCTGGGAGCAATGGGCTATCCCATACAATCTAACCATGTAATAGGCTGTATCATCTAAGTGCACTCTGTGATGTTATCACAATGACAAAGTCACCTGACAACACATTTCTCAGAATATATCCCCATCATTAAGAGGCACATGACTGTAATACAGTGAATATCCACATCAAGGTTCATAGTCAATAGGTATGAACTAGAACACATACACCAATTTTTTTATATATATTTTATTGATTTTTTACAGAGAGGAAGGGAGAGGGATAGAGAATCAGAAACATCAGTGAGGGAGAAACATCGATTAGCTGCCTCCTGCACGCCCCCTACTGCGGATGTGCCCGCAACCAAGGTACATGCCCTTGACTGGAATCGAACCTGGGACCCTTCAGTTCCCAGGCCGACGCTCTATCCACTGAGCCAAACCGATCAGGGCTACACCAGTTTTTTATAGCCAGCGATTGTTCTGATTGTTCTTGGTCCTAACATTACTAAATGTTTAGATCTACCACCCCAGGTTAAAAAGCAGAACAGTAACAGTAACGTGCAGGCCCTCTCTGGGTTCTTCTCATGTCACACTCCCTCCTACAAATGGCTCACTCCCTTCTGTGAGCCAGTGACTCCTGCTTGAGTAACATCTTAACTTGTATGTCAGTCCTGGGCTCTCTCAAATGTCTTGTCATGAAGGAGCAGCATCTGTTGTACCAAGCCTCTGAATATTTATTTTGTCTTTTAATTTTCACCTCAACTCTGTGAGATATTTGTGCTGTTATTCTATAAAGAAAGAATAATAGCCCAGGCAGTGTGGCATAGGGGTTGAGCATCAATCTATGAACCAGGAGATCATGGTTCAATTCCCAGACAGGTTACATGCCCAGGTTGCAGGCTTGATCCCCAGTAGAGGGCGTGCAGGAGCAGCCGATCAGTGATTCTCTCTCATCATTGATGTTTCTATTTCTCACTTCTTCTTTGAAATCAATAAAAATAAAAAATATATATTTTTGATAAAGGAAGAACAATAATAAAAATGCTTACCAGGTGGCAGCCACTGTTCCAAAGGTTTCACACAGTTTCTTAGGGCAGGGGCCATTATAGGCCCATTATACAGATAGGAAGCTGAGGCCGAAACCGGTTTGGCTCAATGGATAGAGCGTCGGCCTGCGGACTGAAGGGTCCCGGGTTCGATTCCGGTCAAGGGCATGTACCTGGGTTGCGAGCACATCCCCAGTAAGAGATGTGCAGGAGGCAGCTGATCGATGTTTCTCTCTCATCGATGTTTCTAACTCTCTGTCTCTCTCCCTTCCTCTCTGTAAAAAATCAATAAAATATATTAAAAAAAAAAAAAAAAAGGAAACTACCATTTAAAAAAAAAAAAAGATAGGAAGCTGAGATTTGAAGAGGAAGCATGGTTCAGAGCACAGCATTTAACCAGAGAATGCCAGGCTACAGTCCTGGTCCTGTCCTGACTCTCTGTGCACCCTGGGACAAGACTATGTGACTGGGTCACATTTGTGTAATGAGTGTAATGAGTGGCTAGTGAGCAGTCAGACAGAGGGAAGCACAGGTGGCATGGGGCCTGGCCTGAGATATGTGGGGATATTCTGATAGTTCTTGATGGCATGAGCCTCCCAGTAGTCTACCTGTCTTAGACATGGTACCCCTTCTGTGTACCTGGCTTTTGTTTCCCTATCTGTCCTTGTTCAACAGAGGCCTCCCTTGCAGCTGCTCCACCTGTACACCCTCACACACAGTGCTCACATCTTGCAGATTCCTATCTGCACCTAGCACCCACCTCACCTCTGGAAAGCCCTCCCTGACCCCTAGCAGAATTCCCTTGCAGTGGAGTTCTGTAGCTAGGATCCTGGCCCTAGTCAGGCCCAGTGGTGACCTAATACACCACCTTCTCTTCCAGGCAACAGAGACATCCAAATGATCAGCTGTGGGGCCGATAAGAGCATCTACTTTCGCAGTGCGCAGCAGGTAGAGTGAGGTGGCCTTCTTGGGGGCTGGAGTTTGGGGGCTTTTCAGAGTTGTCCTTTGAAGGCCCTGCCTGCCCTGCCAGGGCTCCGATGGGCTTCACTTTGTCCGTACTCACCATGTGGCAGAGAAGACCACCTTGTATGACATGGATATTGACATCACCCAGAAGTACGTGGCTGTGGCCTGCCAGGACCGCAATGTGAGGTAAGGAACTGTGCTGGGCTCTTACTCAGCCTGGCCTTGGCTGCTTTATAAGTGGGGCCTGTATGGGACCTAGTTAAGTCTGTTTTCTCATGAGCTATCTGCTCTCCTTCACCCTGCTCATCTGGTCCCTGAGAAGCTGAGTGGGCAGAGGGACCCAGCAGGTGTTTCTTAGGAGCTGGATTCACCTAGGCTTAGCCTCCAGATTAGCAGAGGGTTCCTTCAAGCTCTCCAGAAGCCTATGTGGGGTGACTGAGAGGTGCTGATATGGCTTATAAATGTATTCTTTCACCTATATTCCCTGAGCACTTGTCTGGGATAGACAGTAGCAGCAGTGAGCAGGGCAGCTCCAGGCCCTGCCTTTACAAAGCTCACAGTCCTGTGGAGGAGAAGTGGACACTTCACCAGGCAGTGACAGCATGAAGTGGTCAGGGCTGGGATAGGGGAAGCCAGAGGGGTGGGCTCTGGAGAGATACCTGAACCCACCTGGGAATAAAGCAGGGCCTGGTGGAAGGAATGTCTGAACGGAGACTGTGAAGGACCCAGAGGACTGAGCCAAAGGAGGGGAGAAGAGAGTGTGCAGAGGGCATAGCATGCACAAAGAGGTTCTCACCTCCTTCATTTGCTCATTCAAATTGGGTGCCAGGCACTCAAGCTTGCTCTATGGCAGGGAAGAGAGGCATTAACTCAACAGACACCCTAATAAGTAATTTCCATGACTTCATCCTGAGATGGGATTTCAGTCCAGGCATCGAATGGGGGATAAGCAGTGGCAGTGGGCTTCCAGAGAGAGGAGGAGGGGGATAGGCAGGTCCATGTTGGCCATATTCTGCAACCACCTCCCCAGAGTCTACAACACCATGAATGGAAAGCAGAAGAAATGCTACAAGGGCTCCCATGGCGATGAAGGGTCTCTGCTGAAGGTGAGGAGCCACGGCCCCCAGGGTGAAAACTAAACACAGACCTCACACCAAGGCTCCCCTTTGTATCTGCTATCCTGGTCAAAGGATCACTTGCTGGCCAACTATTCACTCTGGTCTTGCTGAGAGCCAAAGAGTAGCCCACACTGCTTCACCTTTATTTACTGAGCCCTTCCCCAAGTGGAGCCGTTTTGAGTGGCAACAGAATGTGGTGGGAAGATTCAGAAAGGCCTGGGCTCTCTTGCCAGGCTTATCCCCTGCCTGTGTTATCCAGGCCAAGGCAAGGACCTTCTCAGAGCCTCTGGACGGGGTAAGAGTTCACACGACTGTAACCTTGGGCAAGTGTTATCTTTCCAGTCTGGCTCATCATCTGTAAAATGCAGATACAGAGAGCTTCTGTCACAGGGGTGTTCTGTGGAGGAAATAAGTCACACAGGTATAGTGCTAAGCACAGGGCCTGGCTGCCATCAGTACCATTGTTGTGGCTGTTAATTTCTTTATCTGTGAAATGGGAACAGTTCTTATCGAATCAGGGTGTGTGTCGTGAGGGCTATCTGGGATGAGTCCATGTCCCAAGTGTTCAGCACGAGGGTGGTCCTCAATCAGTGGGGGCTGGGAGGGTGGGGAGAAGCAGGCAGCACAAAGCATCACTTGCATCCTCTTCTCGGCAGGTCCACGTGGACCCCTCAGGCACCTTCCTAGCCACAAGCTGCTCTGATAAAAGCATCTCGGTGATAGACTTTTACTCGGGCGAGTGCATTGCCAAAATGTTTGGCCATTCTGGTGGGTGTACCTCCCTACGTGAGACATCTCCCCACCTGTCCCCACATAGCCTTCTGACTCAGAAGGTCAATGCAGCTTCTCTGCTCTGTTTCTAGAAATTGTCACCGGCATGAAGTTCACCTATGACTGTCGTCATTTGATTACAGTATCTGGAGACAGGTGGGAAAGGCGTCGAGGCTGCCCCTGGCTGACCTCCCTTTAGGAGTGGGTGGGACCTACACTGTGGGGAGAGCAGGGGCTCAGAGACTGGAAACACCAGGCTCACAACCTGCCTGTGCAGAGAGCTCTTCTGAGTGTTCCAGCTTTCTCTCTCCTTGATCAGCATGCATCTTGGTGTCACACCCAGCCCTGAGTTCAAATCCCATATCTGCTACTTATTTACTTGTGACCTTGAGCAGGCCATTTCCCTCTCTCAGCCTCAGTTTGCAACTTTGTAAGAGAGTTGATACCATCTACCTTGAAATGATATGGTGAAAATCAAATTTGATGATCATATATGTCATTCTGATATATTTCCTTATATGAATTATATATATACTAATTTATAATAAATATAATAAATAAAAATAAATTTCTTACCACATGGTTGTTACTCAAAGAAGTCCCTTTTGTCACTCCCTTCAATTTACTACAATGCTTTCTCACAGCCCCCTTCGTTGGTCTGGAGGACTTCAGAACAGGTCCTGGTTAGCTGTTCTGGAGCCTACGCAGGATGTGGACCTGACATGGTCTGGAGCCCCTGCACTAAGCTGATGGGCTGTGTTTTCCAGAGGTGCCAGGAAATTTGGTCTTGGCTGTGATGACTCAGGTAGCTTCAGAGTTAGATTGCAGCCATAGTTATTGTTCCTCCCCTCCACATCTCTCTTTGGCCTCTATAGCTGTGTGTTCATCTGGCACCTGGGCCCAGAGATTACCAACTGCATGAAGCAGCACTTGCTGGAAATTGACCATCTGGAGCAGCAGCAGCAGCAGCAGAATACAAAGGATGGGAAATGGAGCAGCCACCCCAGGTCCTGGCAGCCAACTATACATACCCCATCTGTCCTCCCTCAGAGGAATATGTTCCTGCCCTAGGCCCCAAGATGCATGATGCTGGGGACGTAGCCACAGCCAGGACAGCCCTGGGCCCTGCCTTCTGTGCACTCGCAGTCTAGGATGGGAGATGGACTTTGAATACCAAGTTGTGATAACACATATGAGAAGGGTTTTGGAGTGGAAAAGCAAAGTATTTGGAGAGCCTGTGAGCACTGTAATATGGGAAGCCCCAGGAGGCTCCGGGTGTAGGGAGGAAGGTCAGGACAGGGTCCAGTGGCGTTGAGATATCTTCTACTCTTTAAAGTTTTTATGCTGAAAGACCACTTTTATTTGGAGTGAATTCATGCTCTAGTTTTTTATTTAGGATTTTGGTTTGGAGGTCTCAGTTTTATTGGGAGATTATGGGATTTTTTTTTTTTTTTTAATCTCTCTCTCCTGCTCCTGGAGCTGTCCCCATCTCTTTGTCTTGAGGCTTTGTCATTGCCTCCCTGTGGGGACCAGCCCTTGATATGTGCTGCCTATCCTGCAGTAGTTTTGGAGATATTGTAGATATAGGCACCTAGGGAGAGAGCAGCTACCTTTGGCTCCTGGTTTTGAGTCTCACACCCTACCCTGGGGCTGGGGCTGGGGCAGGTCCTGGTGCCAGTGCCCACCTCGTGTCAAGCATGTTTTAGTCTCCTATATTCCAAAGGAGCTAAAAATCTCATTGCTACCCCCTACTTCCTAAAACAGAACCCAGCAGCTCAATACTTAAGCCCCACTATCTGCTTTGCTTTTCAAAGGTCCCATTGCTATGGCTCTTGGAGTGTTTGTCTTATTTTTTGAGCCCAGACTTTCTCATATCTCATTTATTATGGTGATATGTTTCTAGCAGAGAAGTGAGACCTCCCAGCACCATCTTTTTTTTTAAAATATATTTTATTGATTTTTTTACAGAGAGGAAGGGAGAGGGATAGAGAGTTGGAAACATCGATGAGAGAGAAACATCGATCAGCTGCCTCCTGCACACCCCCTACTGGGGATGTTGCCCGCAACCAAGGTACATGCCCTTGACCGGAATCGAACCTGGGGACCTTTCAGTCTGTAGGCCAACGCTCTGTCCACTGAGCCAAACCGGTTAGGGCTCCCAGCACCATCTTGACCAGAAGTTAGTAATATGTTCATTTGGAATCTAGCACAGGGTCCTGGCCCTAGGCAGGTCCCTCTAGTACCCTACTTACCTATTTCTCTCCTTGACTTCCTCATTCCTGGTTTCAGGCAAGAGACATATGCATCCATGCCCAACAAGATTTGCTCCCTAAGATCTGGAGAGCAGACAGAGGATGAGCTGGAGGAAGAGTGTGAACCTGAAGAATTACTGAAGACGCCATCCAAAGAGAGCTTGGATTCAGGTTGGGAAAGGGGCCCATCCAAAGGAGCCCTCTTTTGATCTATGTCAGTGTAGGGGTCATTGCTAGGTTTCACCCACTGCTTTGTTTTCATGCCTGGCACATACTAAAGTTCAATAATCATATTTTAGCCAGGACTCTGTCAGTGTAATAGCACCAGACTCTCATTGGCTTAAACTGGAAAGAGAATTTATTGGTTCATGTACCTGAAAATGTAAGAGGATTGGCTTTGGCATAGCTGGATCCAGGTAGTCAGGTGATGTTAAAGGAATGTATTTTTCTGTGTCTCTTAGATCTACTTTTCTCCATATTGGCTTCCTTTCCTGGGAGGGATGTAAAGAGGATGTCCCAGAAGAAACAGAGCATGTTAACCAGAAGACAGAACAAATTTTATAGTTCAGGCAAAAGGGAGAGCAGTAGCTTAATGACTTTACAAAAGACCAGGCCCTCTATAAATTTCTGCTCCTCTGCATATTGCCTTGTGACGTAGGCCCTCATGGTTGTAAGATAGTTGCTTAAGTTCCAGGCATCAGAAGCATGGTTGAATAGGACATTTCCTCCCAGAATCTTTTAGAAAGGAACCTTTTCCCAGAAGCCCTGACAGACTTTTCTCGGGTCCCCCTGGCATGATTGCTCCAGCTATGAGAGAGGCTGGGAATAGTGATTAGCACTAGGTGCTTTTAGTGTGGATGGTGGGCTCCAGCAACAAGGGGCCAACAGGCACAGGCCAACTGATTGCTGATTGGCAGGCAACAGAATCATGAGAATTCAGCTTTGGGGGAAATCAGGATAAGTTAATTTTCTTCATCACCCACCCTCACTCCTGATCCAGTGTCCTCTCCAGGTGTGACTCCTTATAGGCCTTTTCATGAACATTAATATACATATGTACGTATCCATAGGAAACACAAATTTATGCCCATAAATTGTATTATACTACGGTATCGTTCTGTATCTTTTTCCTCTCAAAAGTATCTTATCTACCTGTATGTTGGTGGCTACAGAGCAGAGACTTCTCTCTTTTAACCAGCACCATAGTAGGGTATTTTAAGTTATTCCCTCTGGGTGGGTATTTAGGCTTTTTCTAACTTTATACTGTTGTGCAGGAGGCTATGCTGACCACCGCTAGTCCTCCTCAGGCATTTGTGAGAGTGTTTCCCCAGGACAAAGGCTGAGGACTGGCAATGCTAGGCCCCGGGTTAGTATATTTTTTCTCTTAAAAGAGAACCCTAAGGGCCCTCCAAATCCACTTACTGCCTCACCCATTTTCCCTCTTCCTTCCCCCATGTTTTTGCCAGCATTTGATAGTATGAAGCATTTTAATTTTGGTCACATCTTATGGGTAAAACATTATATCCCATGGTGTAAATGTGCATTTCCCTGACAATTAGTGAGGTTGAGCATCTTTTGATATGTCCGTGGGTTCTATATTGTCTGCTTGGAGAATTGCCCATTTATATATGTTGCCCATTTGGTTGTTGGGTTACTTATTCTTTTTTCATGGATTCTGTGTATCTCTTCAGATCCTCAGTGCCTGCTGACCAACGGCAAGCTGCCACTCTGGGCAAAGCGGCTGGTGAGTCTGCCTGGAGACTGACACCTGGGAACTAGCACAGTAGGGGTACTCTCCTCCATGTTCTTATTTATTTTCCTCTCCATATCTCTCTTCCCTGGAGAACCCCATCACTCTTCTAGTCTCAGCTTAGATAGCCCTTCATTCATGCAACATGTATTTACTGAGCACCTACCCTCTGCTAGACATTGTAATGGGCATTAGACACAGCAATGAATAAGGCAGACAAATCTCTGCCTTCACAAGCTCATTTCCTTACATAGGAGATGAACAAGATCCACAATAAACTATTTTTGGAGCTGGTAAGTGCTATGAAGGGAAAAAATTTGAGAAAGAAAATAATATTAGGATTGAATGGATGATTGTTATCTTTGAGGAGGGGCAGGCTAGGAGCTGGTAGTATACTAGTAGAAGCTGGTAGCAGAATCCTAAACCCTAGGTTGGAGGGTTTATTTTAGGAACAATATCAGGCCTCAGATCAGGCTTGCAGGGAAATACCTCCTGCAATCCTCTTCCCTGCAGACAAGATCAGGGCATCTGGCCATGCTCTCTCAGGCCCCCAAGCTTCCCGTTATTACTGTATACTAGAGGCCCGGCGCACAAAATTCGTGTGCAGGTACGGTCCCTAGGCCTGGCCTGTGATCAGGGCCATCTTTCCCGGCTGCCCACAGCCGGCCCCGCCCCCCGCCACTACCCATCTCCAGTTCCCCATTTGCCATCAGATGGTCGGAGCCTGCTGGCCAGGGGAAGGGACCAAGAGGTCAGCTGTTTCTGCCCACTCGTTGGCCCTTCTCCCGCTGTGGGTCACCCTTCGTGTGTGGGGTGACCAGCAGGGCGGCAGCTTTGGCCTGGTGCCACCCGTGTCCCCCGCCACCCACCCCCAGTTCCCCGTTCGCCATCGGGCGATTGGAGCCTGCCGGCCAGGGAGAGGGATCAAGAGGTGGTCAGTGTGCCTCATAGTGACTAGTCAAATTGTCGTCTGGTCATTCCGTTGTTAGGGTCAATTTGCATATTACCCTTTTATTACATAGGATAGAGGCCTGGTGCATGGGTGGGAGCCAGCTGGCCTGCCCTGGTGGGCCGTCATGGTGGGGGGTCCCTGCTGGGGGGCAGGGCCACAGTTGTTCTGGTCTCTGGTCTTTCCATCGTTTCAATCACTGGGCTTTTATTATATAAGATTATAATTGGAATTACATTCAGCAAATAATCACTGTACATTTGCTTTATGCAAGCTTTGTTTTAAGTCTTTTACGTGTGTTACCTCATTTAATTCTCATTGAGATAGGGGCTTTTCTTTTTTTTTTTTTTTTTTCTAGACTTTCTTTTTTTTTTTTTTTTTAAATATATTTTATTGATTTTTTACAGACAGGAAGGGAGAGAGATAGAGAGTTAGAAACATCGATGAGCGAGAAACATCGATCAGCTGCCTCCTGCACATCTCCTACTGGGGATGTGCCCGCAACCCAGCCGGAATCGAACCTGGGACCTTTCAGTCCTCAGGCCGACGCTCTATCCACTGAGCCAAACCGGTTTTGGCGAGATAGGGGCTTTTCATATCCCCATTTCACAATAGGGAAATTGAGGCCCAGAGAGGTTAAGTAACTTGTCCAGGGTCACACAGCTAGGAATTAGAGGACATGGAATCAACCCTAGGTGGCCTGAGTTCTCAAACACCCACCCTCCACTGTCTCAAGCAACAGTCTGGGTAGCAGGCATCAGTGGGCTGGACCAGGGTGGGAGGGGAAGTGGCTGTATCTTGGATGTGTTTGAATGACAAAGCTGATAGGTTTTGCTGAAGAACTACAATGTGGAGTATGAGGGACAGAATAAGAGAGAGGAATGAAGGATGACCTTCAATGTTTGGGGCCTGAGCAACTGGAAAGAATAGCTGAGATGGGGAAGGCTTTAGGAAAGCAGATTTGGGGGGAAGATCAGTTTTCTTTGTGTTTGCTTTGAAATATCCACTAAACATCCATTGGAGCTGTAGGGCAGTTGCATGTATACTTCTGAAGTTTAAGAGCAAGGTTCAGGCTGGAAATAGATGTCTGGAAGTTATTTCTGAGTAGTCTTTAAAGCCAAGAGACTGGATGAGGTCTGTGCAGTCCCTGGCCCTTATTGGAGTTCGTGATCACTTGGCTGGCTGCCTGACCATCTCATCATCCTCAGCTTGGAGATGATGATATGGTGGATGGCTCAGCCTTCTACACCAAGCACAGCTACCAGCCACATGGCCGCTGGGCAGAGCGGGCTGACCAGGAGCCCCTCAAGACCATCCTGGATGTCCGTGACCTGGATTGCTACTTTACCCCCTTGAAGTCCGACAGTCTGGAGGACTCCGTTCTGGATATAGTGAAGCCACAGAGCCTGGCAGGCCTGCTGAGTGAGGTAAGGACTGCCCCTGCTCCACAACTGTCTGCTTAGGACCTGGGGGCTCTGTGCTCTCATTTTGAAAACAGGCCTACCTCCCACTTCAGGGGCACGAGAGGATTGCCTGAGATGGTAGAGGGCAGAAGGGTGAGCCCAGGCCCGGTGCAGAGTGAGACTTCTTAGGGCAGACCAGGAATCTAGGAGATGGGTCACTTTGAGGATTAAGAGCTTGGTCCCAAGAGCAGGCCTGTGCCTGAGTAGAGGGGCATTTGAACAAGTGGAGCTCGGCTCTACCTCTTCCCTGCTGTGTGAATTAGAGCAAGGCTTGCCTCTCTGGGCTTCAGGTTTCAAAAATATAGACATTTAAAAAAAAAGATGACTAAAAAGATTTCTTAAAATGGTTATTGAAAAATAGCCCTCAGAGGCCTGGCTGGGGTGGGTGGTTCAATTGGTTGAGCATCATCCTGTGCATGAAACATTGCCTGTTCGATTCCTGGTCAGGGCACACACCTGGATTGTGGGTTTGATCCCCAGTCGCAGAGCATACAGAAGGCAACCAATTGATGTTACTCTCTCACATCGATGTTTCTCTCTATATCTACCTATCTATCTTTCTCTCTTTCTCTACCTCTCTCCCTCTCCCTTCCTCTTTCTAAGCATGTCCTTGGGTGAGAATTAAAAAAAAAAAATAGCCCTCAGAGAACTTTTACAGGAATTCAGTGCTGAGAACAGGGCCTGGGTCCCCTTAGAGGTACTGAAGCAATTTTAGTTCTTATTTTATTATTTTGCAAATAAAATCCTTCTTTATCCTATTATATGTTTTTTTTTATTGTGGCATAATATATACATGCAGTTATGCACAAATCTTAGGTAAATAGCTTGATGAATTATTACCTGTATATATACCTATGTATATGTACCACCAAGGTAAATATAGAGCATTTTCTACCTCCAGGAAGACCTCTGTGCCCCTCCCAGTCAGTACTTCCACCCAGGGTAACCAGCATCTGACCTTTTCACCATGGACTGGTTTGTCTGGGTTTTTTTTGTTTTTTTTAATATATTTTTATTGATTTCAGAGAGGAAGGGAGAGGGAGAGAGAGACAGAAACATCAATAATGAAAGAGAATTGGTCAGCTGCCTCCTGCATGCCCCCCTACTGGGGGTCGAGCCTGCAACCCGGGCATGTGCCTTTGACCAGAGTTGAACACAGGACCCTTCAGTCCGCAGACCAATGCTCTGTCCACTGAGCCAAACCAGCTAGGGCTGGTTTGCCTGTTTTTGAACTTCATATAAATAAACACTTAGAGAGTCAGAGCCATACTTATTCCTTATTTGTAAAGGGGCTTATGATAATGCAGTTGGATACAGAGAGAGCTCATGGTGAACAAAAGGCTTGGTCCAGGCCCTGGTGCGCAGTGAGCATCCAATAGTGGGGGCTACCATTATGCCCAGCTTCTTTACTGTAACACTTAGAAACTTGGAGGGGCCCTGGTTGCCACAGCTGCCTCAGATGGCTGTGCCTCTTCACCCCATAGTCAGAGAGTCCCCAGGAAGATGGCTGTAGGAATCCTTCCTTCCTGCCTCTACAGAAGGAGTGCTCTGAAGCCAGAGAGGTCGTCAGCTCCCTGGAGGTAGAGGTGACCGTCCCAGGGACAGACAGGTGAGTATCCTTCACATCAAGGGGAGCCTTAGTTGGAGAGAGGAAGCCTCAGCTGATAGGCACATTCTGGAAGAACTGCTCTTGCAGTAGGCTGTGGGAGTGGGGAGGAAGGGGTATGGCCCAGATGGAGTAGAAGCCCAGCACTGCAGCGTGTTTCCATGGTTCTAGGTGGAGGTGCAGGGCACTCTGGGGGGAAGGGAGCCTTTGGAGGAGGGAGGAGAGGCAAAGTAGTGCTCCCAAGGGGAGCAAGGTACAGATGCTTCGGGGGTCTGGGTAGGGACCAGTTGTTTACTAAATAGTATGTTATCATTCCCTCGCTCCACCCTATTGGCACTGCAGCAAGTATGGCTCAGAAGAAGTGGAGAGGGAGCCTGGAGACCAGCAAGGTGACTCCTATCTCAGGGTCTCCTCCATGGGCTCGAAGGATCAGAGCAAACTTGCGGGTGAGTGGGGGCCTGGCAAGGACCCTGCTGTAGTCTGTTCATCCCACCAGGCCTCTTTCTGGGCACTGATGATGACCTTAGCCCAGTTTTCCTGAAATTCAAGAGTCTATCACAGAAGACAGACATGGTCCTTGATGTTACCAGAGGATTCTGGAGCCAAACTGCCCACTGAGGGCAGCCCAGCTCTGCCACTTCCTCCAAGTGTAACCTTGTTGTCCATAAAAATAGGGGGCGAGTATTATCATCCCCATTCTCCAGATGGGGAAACTAAAATCCAGAGAGAAAGTGAACCACTTACCTGACTCACCCAAAAAGAGCCTGGCTTTGGGTTCCTGACTCTCTCATATCCCCTCCCTGCTTCTTTAGATTCAGGGGATTCAGAAGCCTACTTGGAGCGTACCTTGACCACCATCCATTCCTCCCCTCCACAGCTGGACTCAGACCCTCGGTTTGATGTGACAGTGACCCCTATACCAGGTAAATGGGCCAGGCATGAGGAAGGGCAGTGCATGGGTCTTGCTTAGGGGGTGGTCATGATACATAAACACTGGCCCCACATCAGCCCTACACTTGGTGCCCACTGAGCCTCACCTGGAAGACAGAGCCATCAGTCTGTCCTTCTCAGCCTGGTGGCATCAGGGTGTGTGCTGGGCAAGTCCAGCTTTCTCCGTTGTTAAGTGTCTTTGTCAGGGTATCTGCCATGACTAAATGTTGAAGGTTCTCTCCCGCTTGCTCCCTTTGCCTCTCACAGCATGCCCAGGAACTGCAGAAGAGTTGTCGCGGCCTGAGCTGGCAGGCATATCCAATGGCTCCCTGCCCCAGACCCCTGAGCAAGAGAGGTTTCTCCGCCATCACTTTGAGACGCTTACTGACACCCACCATGAGGGTAGGGCCCTGCTCCTCTCAGCCCTACCTGGGCGGGCCATCTTGTGCTAGGCACTGTGTGGGCGTCTCTGGGTTAGGGCTTTCCCTAGCAGGGCTGATGAGAATGGTGGGAAGGCATACGTTTTATCTTCAGGACTGAGCTGCACAGTTTCTTCTTCCTGATCCAGTTGCTCTGTGTTATCTATTGATGTGGGTTTCAGATGATTTGCCTGCTGCTTTGTGGGTCTGTCTGGACCTAGGACTAGTTGGCTAGGGGGATTCTGAGGTCTCCCTTGGCATCTTCCCCTAGAGCTCTTTCACAGATCCCTAAGAGATGTGACGGCCTCTGCGGATGAGGACTTTTTTAATCCCCGGCTGAGCATCTCAGCCCAGTTCCTCTCACGTCTCCAGAAGACATCCAGGTAAGAGCTGGTGAACTACTGAACCTTCCAACTTTCTGTATTCCAGGATGGGGCTATGTCCTCCCAAGCATCCCAGGGCAGGCACAACTGCCTGGTTTCCTCCCCACAGGCTCAACCACACCTTCCCTTCCCCGCTGCACCTGCACCTTGTGAAGTCCCCGGAGGTCAAACTCATAGACCTCCAGGGGAACCAGGCCAGAGCAGAACCAGGTACTGGCTACACCTTCCCAGGGAGGACCAATGTGAGTACTTGGGCCACCTCCTCAGGACATAGGGCTGGGAGCTGGGAAGCCTTGTCCTCGCCTCATGGCTATGCTTGCAGGTCCTCTCTGGGAGGAAAGCTAAGGAGTCGCTTGACAACCTGGAGGCCTGGTGCCCACTGAGTGAGTATCACCATTCCTAGTAAACATCCCTGGGCTTCTCAGCAAATGGCCCTGGATGCCCAGCTGAACCATGGGTGGGGGTGGGGAGGGTCCACTCAGAACCTGCAGCCATCCTGGGATGGGGCCCTCTCAAATCAATTTTGTGGCTTGGATGTGAGAGTGAACTGGCTGCTTCCTTTACAGCCCCCTGCCTCACAGGCCCACTTCCTGTGTTCCCTCCTCCTCAGCGCTGCCCACAGATAGGAAGCCTCTGGCACCCACAAACCTACCCACTCCAGGCCTCCACATCCCCTCTACCTGTTCCTATATAGAGGCCACTGCCAGTTCCTGTGCCAAGATGTCACCCAGCATTTCCCTTGAGGACAGTGAGGACCCTGTCTTGGTTGACAAAGAGAGAGGGAGACCCCTCTGCAGGCCCTCATCCCTGGGGAAGCTGGCCTCCATGGACCAGGAGCTTCAGGCCATCACCACCACAGCAGCAACCAGTTCTGACAGTGAGGGCCGAGAGCCTGCCCTGCCCTCCCAGGGCAACTATGAAGCCCGGGCCAGCTTCAGGCAGACCCTGTCAGGTGTCTGTGACAGGCTCTTACTGCCCTCACCCCCACAGGAGCCACCTACTACTTGTGTCTGGTCCCAGGAACCTGTGGCCACCCAGTCCGATGTCACAGTCACAACAGCTAGCTTCCCGGCTTCCAGCCCCGTAGATATGAGCTCCCTGAGGCTCCACAGCTCCACCTTTCTCCCAAGGCTTCTGGCCGCTGAACCCCTCAACACCCCTGCACACCCCAACAGCCCCCCACTTCCAGAGGCCATGCCTGGCAGCATCACTTCCCTCCTGGAGCTCACCCCTGGTGAGTATCACCCTTGGGATAAGGGGTTGTCTCTCAAGCTCATCTCATTTAACAGCTCCAAAGGTAGGCACTTGACCTGGCCACAGGGGCTATGCCATTCATTTATTCTTTACTGAACTATTTAGTGAGCACTTTGTATGTGTTGGGCTTTTTGTTCTAGGCCCTGAGGACATGGATGGGATGAGGTGGTAAACAAGACTACAGAGAATTGACACCTTAATTGGGGAAGATGCCCCAACTAAATCTATGAGGAAAGTGTTAAGTGTATCACGTAGTGATGTGCTAAGGAGGGAAATAAAGAGAAAGGGTTTAAGGAGTTAGAAGCGGGGGCAGTTGTTACAGTTTTTTTTTTTTTTTTTTTTTTTTTTAATATATTTTATTGATTTTTTACAGAGAGGAAGGGAGAGAGATAGAGAGTTAGAAACATCGATGAGAGAGAAACATCGATCAGCTGCCTCCCGCACACTCCCCACTGGGGATATGCCCGCAACCAAGGTACATGCCCTTGACCGGAATCGAACCCGGGACCCCTCAGTCCGCAGGCCGACGCTCTATCCACTGAGCCAAACCGGCTTCGGCGGAGTTGTTACGGTTTTTAAAACATTTTTTTTTTTTATTGATTTCAGAGAAAGAGGGAGAGAGAGAAACATCAATGATGAGAGAGAATCATTGACCAGCTGCTTCCTGCATGCCCCCCACTGGGATTGAGCTCGCAACCTGGGAATGTGCCCTGACTAGGACTCCTAGTTCATAGGTTGACGCTCAACCACTGAGCCACATCAGCCAGGCTGTTGTTATAGTTTTAAACAGAATGATGAAAAAAGGCTTCAGAGAGAAGGTGGCATTTGAGACGTGTAGGAGGGGAGGAAAGGGAGGCTTGGGGACTGAGGGAAGTACATACTGCAGGCAGCGGGACAATAATTGGGATCAGTCCAGTCACCATGGCCTCTCTTAGACCAGCTATAAAGTTAGAGGTGTCTTTTTCATTCCCTCCCTTCTATCCCCAGATGCACTCAGTGTACTCCGGGACAGCCCTGGACACTGGGGAGAGCCTGGAGTGCCAGCCAGAGTCCTGTCCCCAGCTCCACTTGAGGTGAGCAGTGTGGGGACCATTGTGCACAAACTACAGACTGCCTTCCAAGAAGCCCTGGACCTTTACCACCTGGTGAGCCAAGCCCAGAGTCAGGAGAAAGGGCTGAGGGAGTGCCTTGGGACTGTCTGGCCTGGGTGGTTCCTAACAATATTGGCACCCTTTGCAGATGGTCTCCAGTGACCAGTTGAGTACCAAGCAGCGGCAGGCACGGACTGAGCTAGCCTCCACCTTCCTTTGGATCCACAGCCAGTTAGAGACCAACGACTGGCTGGTTGGGAGTGATGTGGCCCCAGCCCAGGCCCTCCCCAGCCCTGACCCCCCCTCCCCACCTACATTGTGCCCCCTGGCCAGCCCAGATTTGCGTGCCCTGCTGGAACACTACTCGGAGCTGCTGGTGCAGGCTGTGCGGAGGAAGGCACAGGGGGACTGAGGGTCAGCAGCCCTGCTACTTTCTGATGAAATAGGTATTTTTAAGCAAATAAACAGACAATTTGGAGGAATGGTTGCTGGTGCCTATCTTGGCACATCCACAAAGCTCCTTCAGGTGGATGCAGGGAGGGAGGGTGGAGGGCAGTGCTCTGGTGGACCATCCCAGAGAACTCTCATAAGCACTGATGCTAGGCCCTGTTCTCGGAATCTGTCAATGGGAACATGGACCACCATTCCCAGGAAGTTTTGTAACTGCAGTAATGATGATCCCAGCACTTGGTTTTTGTGTTGCTTATCCTTAGCCCACTAAGCTGCTAAGGGATCATATGTGGTCCTTGCCCAGTGAGACCCACCTGTACCCCAGAGAGTGGCCAGTCCTTCTTTCCTACCCGCTACTGATGCCCAAGAACCCACTGGAGCTGCTGTGATCACCATGTGCCAGACCCTGACTACCAGTACACATATTACCATACCACTGGCCCCTGGGTCGGGCCCATCCTGGATCCTCTGAGAACTAGGCTTTTGTTCCCATCTGCAGCAGGGGAAATTGAGGAGAGACAAACAGGTTTATCCATTGGATAATCCGGGCAGCATTCCCAGGCCACCCAGCAGCTGGGACAGTAATTATTACCCCAGCAGGAGGACTGTATCCAGCTACAACAACCCATGAGCTCCCAGTACTAGTACCAGCTTCCCTAGGCAGCAGGCATCTAGCTATGTGCGTATCTGCTGAGAGGGCCACTCTTGCCACAAAAGCCCCCACTGTCCCAAGTGTATAAAAAGGAAGCCAGCAGGGGTGGGGCCCTCTCCTAAAGCACAATCCTACCATGCAGACTGCTACGGCCTGAATTCCCACTTGCCTGAGTTTCTCCCTGCTCTGTTTGATGGTCATGGCCCACCAGAAACAGGCTGAGAGAGATCCAGTGTCTTGCCCAGGGTCCTATAGAACGAAACTCTAACTTAGGCTTGCCTGGTGGCAGAGCCAGACCCTTCAACATGAGGACATGGCCTACAGATGCCTCCATAAATATTAGTATACATCAGAACCAATCAGGCAGTTGTTAAAAAAAAAAAATCCTGCTGGCTGGTGCCCAGGTGCCTGTCATTGTTCTACAGGGGTAGAGTGAGGAACAGGAGAAACAAAACATCTGTCCTTGTGATATTCACCTTCTAGAGAGCAAAACGCAAGAATTAAAACAATAACTGTGTAACTAGATAAGCTGAGGGAATTCTCTGTGCTGGTTGAAGTGTCAGGGAAGGCCTTTCTGAGGTGACATTTGAACTGAGGCTCAGTAGAGGGCACAGGCCATCTGGACATCTCAGGAAACTATCCAGGCAGAACAGCCAGTGCAAAGGCCCCATGGGAAGATCAAAGGTACATGTAAGGAATGGCAACAAAGCCAGGACAGCTGGAATAGAGTGAGCTAGGGGACAGGCAGTGAGAGAAGAATGAGATCGCACCAGGCAAGGCCTTACTGCTTCATGACATAAAAATCCAAGAAACCACCACACAATTTTCCCCCCTAAATAAAGTCCCTAATATTTGTGTTTGGGGAGATGCCCAGTCTTATTTATTTTTCAAAGCTCCCTCTTTCTGCCTTAATGAGCCCAGGTGGTCAAGGGCTAGTAGTAGGACTGCATCTCTGCCAGGCCAACAGGCCACCCCTGAAAGACTGGAGAGCCATTCTCCTTGCTCCTGCCTTGCTTGGTCACAGTCACCTAAGAGCCCTGAGGCAAAGTTTGGCATCCAAGATCCTGGACACCCAGGAGACCAACTTGAGACTCTGTCCCTTGAGAAAATTACCCCTTCTCCCACTCTGTATTATAGTTAAGCTTTCAACTCCAAGTAGCAAACACCTGGCTTATGGGGGTGCACGCTATAGGGACATTTGTTACTCTTGATTGTTTCTGCTCTGTCGCTCCCTATGAGCCTGAGTTTCACCCTCCAGCTTAGGTCTTCACAACTGCAACATGACTGCCATGCACTCAGCAGCACACCCCCACCCAGCCAGTAGCAAAAGCATGAAGCAAAACAGCCTTCAGGGTGATGGGGGGAAATTGCAAAGCCTTCCTAGACACCTTCCCCTTCAGAGCAGTCACAGGCGATGGGAATGGAGATTGCTTTGATTTGCTTGGACTGACCATCTTGCCTGTGCTGGACATGGTTAAACAAAATTGGGTTCTCAGCACAAAGGAGGTGGGCTAGTAGTTCAAAAGAATCCAATATGTCTGCCACTCTCCACTTCCTAATGTCAGCTCTTCAGCCCTAGAAGGACCAGACTTTCTCTTGGACTAACCAGCCGGTTAAGAAATCACTGCTGATGAATGTGTATGCAGGCAGTTTATGGACCAGCAGGAAGAGAAGAGCATGTTCTCATGGGCTATTTCAGAGAGTTTAGTGAAGGAATAATTTGCAAAGGAGTGGGCAGGGGAGAGTGAAACAACAGCACCTTGGACGTGGTACCAAAGGAGAGCTGTCACACACTCCCACCCTACACAAGACACAAGGGAGTGAAAAACCCAGAAGAGCAAATCCTGGAGGGCTGCCCTGGGGGGACTTGTGTCCCTGGCAACCCCACAGAGAGGGAGTTGAAATCCCCTCCCCAAATCTGCAGGGCTCCCCATTGTCCATTCCCTACTGGAAGCCAGAGGGAAAGGAGCCCAGATGATGCTGCCCACCCAGGTCAGCCACCCACGACACAGCGGAGCAGAAAGGGAGCCTGAGGGCAAATAGACACCCAACCCCAGATTTCTTCCCTTGTGTCTTTTCAGCAACACAGGAATCAGTTGCTTCAAGAGACATGTTGTGTATGGAGAACTGGGCACCCAAGCAGAAACAGAATGGCTCCCCACTCATCAGCTCATTCTTTAGTGCAACCTGGCCCCTGCACGCCACATTGACAGCTCCTAGATACTGGGCTGCCAGGCCTGAGCCAGGCATACTAGTCATGGCTGCATGAAATCCAACAACTGTAAGATGGCAACACTTAAAACCCCTAAGGGAATACTACTCAGCTGGAAAAAAAAGAAGGAACTCTTTTTCTTTGCAACAGCATGGATGGACCTAGAGATTATTATGCTAAATGAAATAAACCAGTCAGAAAAAACTATACCACATGATCTCACTTATATGTGGAATCTAATGAACAAAATAGAACCAGAGACATGACTGACAGATCTCAAAAGGGAGAGTGTGTGTGGGGAGGGACTGGATAAAAGGTGAGGAGATTAGCCAAAGTACATATATGCATAGCCCATGGACAGAGACAACAGTGTGGTGATGGCCAGAGGGTGATGTTGGGGGAGGCAGGGACTGGGAAGAGATGGGCAAAGAGTGGGAAGATGGGGGAAATCTTTAATAGTGTCAACAATTTTTAAAAACCCATTGAGCCCTGACCAGTTTGGCTCAGTGGATGGAGCGTTGGTCTGTGGACTGAAGGGTCCCAGGTTCGATTCTGGTCAAGGGCATGTACCTTGGTTGTGGGCACATCCCCAGTAGGGGGTATGTAGGAGGCAGCTGATTGATGTTTCTCTCTCATCGATGTTTCTAACTCTCTATCCCTCTCCCTTCCTCTCTGTAAAAAATCAATAAAATATATTTTTAAAAAATATTTAAAAAACAACAACCACCCATTGAACAAGTGTGCCACGTCGGGACAGCCATGGGTGAACCTGAGAGGGGGCGGTGAAGGATAGAGAAGACAGACAAAAGAATAAAGCTGGGGCTAGGTGGGACACTGCTTCTCTGATGGAAAGAGCACCACAGCCTGCAAAGCCAAGTCTCTCTATTTTATAGCCAGATTCCACGAGGCAAAGTAAGGGCGTGGTCAAGATGTTTACAGCGTTCTCTCGGGTTTCAAATGTACTCAATTACATGCACCTGATCAAGCTTTGTTTACTAGTTGCACTTCCTGCAGCCTATATCACTTAGCCACATGGGACCACAGGTTCGGACCATAAAGTCAAGCTTACAACTATAGCCTTTGGCTATAATTGTGCTGGGAGGGCTTTGCCCTCCAAACTAGGACTTGCATGTGGCTTTGCCATGAGAGGACCGTGCCCTCTCATTAGTCTGAGGCTTGAACCTGTCCAAACACTGTAGCCGCTCTCCACATACAGGCAGCTCAATTGAAACTCAGATGCTTGCCTAGCTACCCACCCTCAAGACTTCCTAATAACCCTTCTGTTTATATGTCTGCCACATGCCAGATCCCATGGCCAGCATTCTCCCCACATGCTCTGCATGGATCTTTAACACAAACCAGTGGTAGAGAGAGACTTACTAGTCCAAGATTCTGCAGAGACACATTGGCAAAGCTCTGGGCTAGCAGACTCAGCACTGCCTCACTTGCTTCCCCAAATGAATCAGCAGGACTGACTATAAGGAGTATGAATAAATGTTGCTTCTTTCACCACCAAGCCTTTATATAGACTGTTCCATCTGTCTGGAACACTCTCCCCTTTCATTCCAATCCTCATTCCCTCAGGGCTCATACCCAGGAAGTTATTCCTCAACCCTTAGGCTGGATCAGGAATGGCCCCTCCTGATTCTCCCCATCACAGTTTAGATCACTCTGCCTCCGCTTCGCCCATCATGTCATTCTGGGCAGTCACTGGTGTGTCTCCCTTAAGGACCAAGCTATGTGTTTGTTTTCAGTGCTGAGTTAGACATAGTCTGTAATTGGAGTTCATAAAATTGTTGGGTAAAAACAGCATGAGGAATGTTCAAAATCCTTAACCCCTGGTTAAGAGTCCAATGACCAATCTAGAACACAGCTTAGCCCAGGGGTGGGCAAACTTTTTGACTCGAGGGCCACAGTGGGTTCTTAAACTGGACCGAAGGGCCGGAACAAAAGCATGGATGGAGTGTTTGTGTGAACTAATATAAATTCAAAGTAAACATCATTACATAAAAGGGTACGGTCTTTTTTTTTTTTTAGTTTTATTCATTTCAAACGGGCCGGATCCGGCCCGCGGGCCATAGTTTGCCCACGGCTGGCTTAGCCAGAGTGCTGAGGTAAGGTCCTTGGCAATGGTTTTGAAATGTGCAGAGACTGAAGGAGAGCTGTCCCAGGCAGTCACTAGGAGCTGGATATTAATGAGTATTTTAACGTCTGCTACACCTTAACAGTGTGCTTCTGGTTGAACATCAGTTCTAGGTATCGGAGGATCAAAAAGGTGGAGTTCCTGCTTGAAAATGCACAGCCTGAAACCTCACTCTGTCTTTACTTATTAGATCCTGCTGTCTCTCTATCCTCTGGAGCAAGTAATCAGTCACCCCTCCCCTGCTTCCTCAGACAGCTACTGTGATTTGAATAACTAAGTAGGATGTTGCCTGGCAAACAGACCCTTAGGTCTTCAGCCCTGTTGGTACTATGGGAAGACACTCAAAACCCCTGGGGTCTCTGTTTCCTCTCCCCATCCCCAAGAGCTTCCTAGGCTACAGTCTTGCCCTTGCTTGACCTACTTGGGGGTCCTAGAGCTTGTCTGTCCCTGGAGGCTGGAGAGTACCTTTAGGAATCTGTCATAGAAGGGAAGGAATGGTAGGCCCCAAGACAGGTAACTGGAAGTCTGCTCCCTGGGCCTGTCATGAAATTCGCATTGAGAGAATGAAGCTCCTTCATGGCTGCCCCCTCCCTTTCCACCTGGGATAATCATGCTGGTGAGGTCTGACAGCAGGTGAAAGAGGCAGCCCCAGTGTGTGTGTGCGTAACCACCTTACCATTCCTGGAGGTGATGCCCCATGTCTTCCTGGTCAGGAGTAGGCGTCTGCAAACACCTAATTGGGACTACCTGACTGACCAACTCTGGGGAGATGCCTATGTCCCAGGGGGGCCCCTTACTAAGCCTGGAGGTGAGGGGCAGTGAAGACACAAAACATCACCGTCTGGCTTCTCTTCCCAGACTGCAGCAGCCTGAAGGGGCCACCAGCACACCAATCTTCCAACCTTGGGGAGTCTTGGGCAGCAGTGAGTCTGCAGGTGGCCCACAAGACCCTGCTCAGTTTTGAAACGGAATTTTTGGACTGGAATTCGGATTCTTTGTCCACCGGAGTTGAAGAATGAATCCGCGGACAGTGGGTAGTATAGCAAAGGTGGAGATTTATTGATGAACAAGTACAGACTCCCATGTGGGGAGAGGGAAAGAGTCCCACAGAATGGACTCCCACGTGGGGAGGGGGAAAGGGTCCCACAGAATGGACTCCCACGTAGGGAGGGGGAAAGTCCCACCGACTTCTTGTTTCCATGGTTTATAAAGGCTGCAGTTCCTGTGTCCTGATATCCCCTCTGATTGGTCAATATTCCCTTTCAAATTGGTTACTATAGTGACTTCTGAGGCCCTCCTCCATCATTGTCTCCTAGGCGTTCTTCCTTCTTTATAGACTTTTGGCTAGTTCCAGTTCCCTTGTCTTCTGGAAATGTAACTACACCTGGCTTCCTTGTCGTATGGAAATGTAACTTCTCCCCCATCTGTAGCCCAATGTTTTTTCCATGGACCCCAATTCTAAAAATTTCCTAAACCTGCCTATATTCCCCTAAAATTCCTGTTTTAGTTTCACCCCTGCCCACTCAGCCTCAACAGAACCTGACTACTCCTTACTCCCCAAGCCCATTGCATATGTCCTTCCAGCCTCAGGACCTTTCCACCCATTGTTCTCTCTGCTGGGAATGCCTTTTCTTTCTTAGTAGTGAGCTGTTAGGCTTCATCCCAAGCACAATTTCCCCAGGGTGGGCAGCCCTTAGGGATCTCTGTCCTGTGGGGCAGAATTCCAGCCAACAAGTGGATAGTGATTTGTTGTGGTAAGGGCTTTCACAACGCCTTTGACCTCACATGAGGATTCATACCAGTGAGCAGCAACAAGGACATAGAGGGGCTACTGGATCCTGGGTGGGGATGGAACAAAATAGAGGGAGGTGCCCTGGATATAGAGTTTTCATTTGTTTGTGTTTGTGGAGGAGACTCAGCTTGGAACATCACATACTTAATCAGATGGGTGTAATGTAGCACCAGGGTAGGGGCCTGCTGAGGGGTGTAGGGTGAAGACAGGTACTGGTTACAGGATTGAGGTCCCAAATTGAAGGGTGCAAAGGGAAGCCTCCCTCCGCTCTCCTAGCTCCAGGGGAACATCCTGGTGAGGAGGACACAGGTGCCTGGCCCACGTTTGTACTGAGGCTGCAGATGGTGGGGTAGAAGCTGCACTTGGAGTACAAATGGGGAAACACTCAGGGGGCAGGCAACGTGGGTTGGCTTTGGTCAGGAGGTCATTTCCCTGTCTGTCCTGTCTGCCCAGGGATCCATCCATTCCACTGCAGAGTTTGTGGGAAAGCATTTACATAGCACTGATAGCTTGAAACGCATCTTGCCAAGGTGCACGGCCGGTCAGCCAGCCAGCTACACTTACTGCTTACCCTGAGCTCCGTGAGAAGTTACATGTGTGCACGATCTGTGGCTTCACTAGTTCGAGGCCAACACTTTCGCGCAGCACTGGGCCCTGCACCGCGCTGCTTGAGACTGTGCACCCGGTGTCCAATCCATGAGAGGCAAATAAAATAAACAGCACAGGCACTCACAGGACACAGCATTTATTCCACGAGGGGGAGGGTGGTTCACTCGGTCCAGCGGTGGCCGCAGTGAGGGGCGGTGCACACATAGTACAAGCGCATGGCGTCCTGGCAAAAAGGATGCAAGGTTAGGAAGGTTCTGGACCCAGGGGAGGGCACAACATGGAACGTCCATCCAGCAGAGCCTCACCCCCAAAAAAGACAAGGGGGCCTTTCTCTCCAGTAAGGGCCCAGCTCAGAACGCCAGGAAGGGCAGGCTCCCCTCAGTATTGGTATCCCCGCTCCCAGGAAGGACCAAGGACACAGGATAGACAGAAAGCCTTCTTCATGCCACTCACCTCCGCACGGGCACTGTGCGACTGGAAGAATACCGCCTCCTTGTGGCCGCACCTGAGGGGACAGTTAGCCACTCAGTTACCAAACCCTTCCCTCCCTCCTCCTCCCCTTTCTGCCCGGTGAGTACGAGCCACTCTCCCTCCGGAATAGACAGCTGCGCGCTCACTTTTGGCACGGGTGGTCCTCGGTTCGCGGCAACGTGGGGTCCTGGGACACGTCGGCGATGATCTGGGTCAGTTCGCTGAGCGAGAAGAGGGTGGATAATTATGCTCTGATAGGGGCTCCAAGAACCCCGTCCCTAAAGTCCAGTCCTGCACTCACTCCACTTCGTGCGTGATTTTGTTGACGTAGATGCAGCTGTTGTCGGCTTCCTGCTGGTAGTCACAGTTCCGGCACTGCGGGAGGGCGCGTGGGGAAGAGGCCACTGAAAGGGTGGGCAGGGGCTTCCCCGGAGAGGAGGACCAGGGGATGGAGTCTCAAGGTTGGGATAATGGGGTGTATCGAGAATCACCTCGAGATAGGGAAAGACGGGAAGTCGGGTGCATTTTGGGATATTAGAAACCAGGACAATCGGGCGGAATAGGGAGTAGCGGCCATGTGGAGCAGGGCGGGGCCACGATGGGGACGGGTGGACCCGTGGGAAGACCGGGGCACCCGCGGACTCGTGCTCACCGCGTAGAGCAAAATGCGGTTCTCCTTGTCCTCCTTGGGGTAAAGCATGTTGTTACTGTGGGGACGGGAGGCCAGAGGTCAGTCTGGGGCCATTACTTGCTCCCCTTCCACACCTGTTACCCCGTCTCACCATTCCTGGCAGAATCGAATACCCACGAAACCCGGTTCGTAGGTCCCGTCCGGTTCCATAGCGCAGCACTACCCGCCAAGCCTCCCGCTCTCGTTCGCTCCGCCTCACGACCGGTCGCGGGAAGGGTCAGGCTTAGTGGCTTCGCCTAGAGAGGGGCGGAGCTGCACACAAGCACTGGCTGCTAGCGGTTTTGTGCTCGGCTCTCTGCGTTTAGATTTGATTAATTACTTGCTTCAATCTTTTGCTATCCTAAAGTAATTGCTTCCTACCTGTGGGCCTCGCTTCCCCAGTTTATAGAATAGTATGGGACGAGAGCCGGGAATACGACGCGTCACGTAACGCGAAAAGCACTTGGCATACTTCTAGAAGCCATTGCTCTCGGGGAGCCGAAGGCCAGTGCGCATGCGCGAGCTTCCCTCCGGGCGGGGGAACGCCTGCCAGTCTTTTCTCCCGGCTTCACCTTCGCCGCCCGGCCGTTTCCCGGGCTGCTATTGGAAGAACTGCACCCAGCCCGGCCTCTCAGGATTGGCTGGACCTACCTAGGAAAACGGGAGCGCTTCCGGAGCTGAGGAGGCAGCGGCGATTGGCGGACCTTCCTGCAGGAGCGCGCCGATTGGCCAGGTCGGGAGCAGGGAGAGGTGGATATCCCCGTGGTGGCCGCGGCGGAGCCGGCGTGAGGTGGCTGACGGGGCTACAGACTCCCCCCTCCCCCCAGACACCCCCACCCCCAGAGCGCAAGATGGAGGTGACGGGGTTATCGGCGCCCACTGTGACCGTTTTCATCAGCAGCTCTCTCAACAGCTTTCGCTCCGAGAAGCGGTACAGTCGCAGCCTCACGATAGCTGAATTCAAGGTGTGGCCGAGGGGCGGGGTCCGGAGGGGATGGGCAAGGGAGAAATGGATGGGCTTCCCCATCACAGGGAGGGGCCAGAAATAAACCGAGGTTGCAAGGATTGGGGACCGGGCTTCAGTGGAACGAGGCCAGAAGGAACCGGAGGTGCCAGAGAAGGGGGCAGGGCCTGGGAAAATCAGAGGTTTCAGGGGCGGGCACAAGAGCAGAGGGGGCAGGGCCAGGGATAACCAATTGGGTCCTAAAATGATGGGTCTCTTGGAGGAGTAAGGAGGGGGTGATGGTTATTGATACAAGGGGCGGGGAGTCTGGGTAGGGGGTGGAGCCACTGACAGCCCTCCTCCTCTCCAACCTCTCCACATCCCCTACTCCTCGCAGTGTAAACTAGAGCTGGTGGTGGGCAGCCCTGCGTCTTGCATGGAACTGGAACTTTATGGAGCTGACGAGAAGTTCTGCAGCAAGCTGGATCAGGAGGATGCGCTACTGGGCTCCTACCCCGTAGATGATGGCTGCCGCATCCATGTGAGACCTCCCTACCTGGGATCCCTCCTCTCCATTCATTTATTTATTTTTAATATGTTTGTATTGATTTTAGAGAGAGTGGGAGGGGGAGGGATAGAAAGATAGAAACATTAATGAGAGAGAAACATCGATGGGTTGCCTCCTGCAAGCGGGCCTGTGCCCTGGGAATCAAGTGGGTCGTTGGCTAATCACTGAGCCACCCTGGCTGGGCCCCATTCATTTATTTATTTAACAAATGTTTGCCATACTTTGTCCTGTGTGATTACCAAGATAGGCCCCCATGAAGCCTGTAGTCCAGTATGGAGAGAGACAGACTCATCACCAGTGACAGCCAGAGTGGTTTGGGCTGGGGCAAGTCCAGGGGACTGGGGACACCCAGAAGAGGTGCTTGACTCCATCTGGGATTATCAGAAGGGGCTTTCTGAAGGAAGAGATGCCTAAGCTGAGACTTGAAGGATGAGGAAAGGATGACTTAAGAGAAGAGGTGGGAAGGGATGCCAGTTGGAGGAAGCAGAATGTACAGAGGCCTATAGTGTGAAGTGGGTCAGGGTGAGCGATGAGATGTGTTGGGAGAAGCTGGAACACAAAGGACCTCTGCATGCATCAGCTGATATCATCTCTGTCCTCACACCCACCCCCGACCCTCTGCCATATTCCTCAGGCATCTCAGCATCCCAGATGAGGTTACCTTCAAAGGTGCTATACATTGAATGTAACCTGAGCCTGATGGCTCTTTTTCTATGCTCTCATGGCATACTCTTTCCTTCCAGTCTTTACTTAAATGTCAACTTTTGAGTGTGAGGCCTTCATTGGCATCAGTGTAAAATTTAAACCTCCTTTATTCCTTTATTTGATTTTTGTCCATGGCTCTTATCATCCTGTGACATACTGTGCATTTTTCCTTAGCACCTGGAACAATGCATGGCACAGAGAGGATGCTCAGTGAATCATTTTTGGATGAGAGTTGAGTCCATAAAATAAGACTTGGAAGATGGTATAATTAACCTTATTTTGCAGAAGAGAAAACTTAGCTTTGCCCAGCCAGTGTAGCTCCGTGGTTGAACATTGATCTATGAATCAGGAGGTCATGGTTCAATTCTGGGTCAGGGCACATGCCCACGTTGTGGGTTTGATCCCCATTGGGGGTGTGCAGGAAGCAACTAATCAATGATTCTCTCTCATCATTGATGTTTCTATCACTTTCTCCTCCTCCCTTCCTCTCTAAAATCAATAAAAATATATTAAAAAATAAAAACAAAGAACAACTTAGTTTTAAGATGGAATATACTGTCCTAAAGGTGAACTATAGCTACATATTTTACTTCAGTCTACATGACTCTAGAATTCTAGTCAGTGTGCCCAGAGAACGGTCCTTTTTTTTTTTTTTTAACTTTTTAATATCTTTCATTTTATTTAGTAACTGTTCATTGAGCATCTGTGTTACACCAGGGGTATAGCTATGAACCAACTCTGAGAAGGTTTCTGTTTAGCTCTGTCCAATCTGAGATAGATTTTAGCTAAATATTCACAAGAACAAAAGTGAGGTGAAGACCATGCAGAAGGAGAACAAAGAGCTGGAAATCCTATACCAAGGGACATGACCCATTAATGAGGACCTCTCAGAGGGGGTGCTGCCTTAGCAGAGACCTGAATAGGAAGAGTTAACTGAAGAAGGAAAAAGAGTGCCCTAGAAGAAGGGTACAGCATGTGCAAATACTCTGAGATGGGAGGTATAAGTGGGTACAAGAGACTGAAGAGTGTCCACTCCTATGGCAGAGGGGAGTGGGAGCCAAGGGAAGACTCTGAGTTAGGAGAGCCCTGGTCTGACTGAAGGGTTCACAGGCCCTCTCTGATTATGTGTGGAGAGCAGACTGTGGAGGGTAGAAGGAGTAGGAAGACAAGTGAGGAGGCAACTTCCATAGTCCAGATGATGTGGTAGGGTGGGAGTGGGCCAGGATTGTGGGTCAGCATTGTATTGCAAGACCACAGCACTGAGACTGGGCTGCCCTGAGCAGCCTCAGCCTAGGGATGCTGGTAGGCCAGGCATGGGCAGTGGCATCCTCAAACAGGAGGTTTTCACACATGAATTTGAGTATAGAGACAGACTGACTTCTGAGTCCATTCAGGGAAGGTCCTAGAAGTGGAATCTCTGGGGAATTTTTATTTTTTCTAAAACTTTTTCTGTTTATAAATATTACCTATATTTGTTTAAAATAACAGCAACCTCAAACTTACAAAAATCCCTAATATAGAAGTAGAAATTCTTAGTGACCCTTGACCAGAGATAAGAGCCATTTCTCTTTTCGTATGTTAGCCCAGCGGTTCAGGCCAAACACCTCAGAGTGTTTCCTGAGCCCTCTATTTTCCTCACACCCACATCCAATCTGTCCCCAAACCCTGCGGGCTCCACCTACAAAATCCGTCCAGAATCTAAACTCTTCTCCCCCTCCAGTGCTCCACCCTGGCTCAGCCTCCATCCTCTCCCTCCTGGACATACAGCCACCTCTATCTCCTGCTCCCATATCCCTTCTTGCCCCCCAGTCTGTTCTCCACACATAGCCAGAGGGAACCTATGAACTCTCCTGGCTCATAGCCTCCCTGGCTGCACTTCATACCAGGTAAAAGCAAAGTCTACAGTGATCTGTTGTGTCTACCATATCCCTGGCTTATTCCACACAAGCCATGCTGGTCTCTCTGATGTTCCTCAAAAGGGCTAAGGACAGTTCTACATCTGGGACTTTGTGCCTGTTCCTTTTCATCCTTCAGGCTTTGGGTCAGACATTCCCTCCTTTTAGAAGCCTTCCCTGACTACATTCCCAGGCTCCTTAAGCTTCTTTGTGATATTTTTTTTACATCAGACCTTGTTATCTTCTGGTGTTTAATACACATACCTGTGTATTTGTATATGGTCGGTCTCCCAGCAGGCGTTTATCTGTTTTTGCACTGCATCCCTAGCACCCAGCACAGGGCCCAGCTGGGCGCCTTGGAAGAGCTCAGCAAGCAGTGAGTTAATGAACCTTGAGATGCCCCAGGGTCTGGATGTTGAGGCCGCTTAAGAGGCTCTCAGAAGCCCAGAGAGGACAGATGGGCTGCCTAGAGGTTTCACGCGCAAGACCCGAGCTCCACTCTTTGGTTCTTGTGACTTGGGGGCCAGCAGTGATGTTGACGCCAGTATTCAGGGTTCGTATAGGGGTGAGGAAAGGGAGATGACTAGCGCAGACACCTGCTCTCATCCCTTCTGCCAGGCTCAGGAGATGAGAAAAGGCTGGGATAAAGTGAGGGTAGAATACAGTTTTTCCTAGACAGGAGATACTTAAGTCTATGAAATGCTCCACTGTGCAACTGTACCTCCACTCCCAGCACCCCAAGCCTCCGTGACCAGACCCTGATCCCCTCTGACCCCTCCTGTTACTATAGGTGATTGACCACAGCGGTGCCAGCCTTGGGGAATATGAGGATGTGTCCAAGGTGGAGAAATACAGCATCTCACAGGAAGCCTATGACCAGAGGCAAGGTATGGGGCACTTGGGGATAAATGGAGCGTGTGGGGGCCAAAAGGAGTGTGTGTAGGTGGGTGGTGATATTGGGGGACAGACAGTAGACAGGGAAATTGAGGGGAAGCTGGTGGTGAGGGCGGTGAGGGGGCAGATGGCTGGGAGGTGTGAGGGATTGTGGGAGGCAGATAGGTACATGGGAAAGCGGAGGGGGCATTAGAGGGATCAGGTGTTGAGGGATCGGGTGTGGGGGGAGTGGTCAGGGTCGCATGGGGGCAGAGCGTGGTGGAATGTGGAGTGGATAGGGCAGTGAGGTGATCAGTACAGACGTGGGGAAGATGAGGGATTCAGGGGACAGATGGAGGTGAATGTGATGCTGAAGGGATATGGGAAGAT